TTTCTTTCATCTCTATAAATCAAGCTCCTTCCTCTGTGTTGTGAGAGTTCATTTTTACTGTAATCACTTTATTGTGGAACAGTTGGAAAAGACATCAGCTCTCCTGTGACTGGAAGTGCTCTATTTGCAGTCTTTAGAGTTTTTCAAAGGTTTCATAATTTGGATAGCATAAAGTGACTGACATTTTTATTCTAGAAAAACTTGAGAGGTCTGGACGTGTTACAGCAAGGGGCGGTGAATGGTGCTCAGTGGGTGTGTATTCAAATAGGTCTGCAGGCTAAGTTTAGACTTGTTTGTGTTGATTCTGTAGGAGAGACATGTCACCCTGGAAAGGCTTCTCTTTAACCCTGTTTTTGTATCCAGGTGTTCTCTTACCTTCTGAACTTTAAACAAAGTGAATTTGCAAGGTATTTTTGCAGTTTAACCATATGGATAAATTATGTTTCTATTCTTCTTTCCTCTGTGCTGAATTAATCGCCTTTTACTTTTCACCACAATTTCAATTTCTGCACAATTTATTCAAGAGACAAGACACACAAAAACTGAGAAATAAAAAAGCAGGCATGCAACAAAAATTAATCTTTTTATGACTCTCAAAAACTGACGCTTCAATTTGACCTTTTCAGGTCCCTTCAGATGGTTACAGAAAGGTTTTTGGTCATATGACCTTTTCCCAAGAGGGTGTTGGCTCGTACTAGATAAATAAAAAAAAGTATGTTCATCAGAGAAAAGATCATTATTTTAAATTAATTTACAACTTTTCCAAGGGAAGAGAGCAGTTGGTTGCTTAATGACAGAAGGAGTTCTGTGACTCTTTACTCCCCCAGTAGAGACCTTCTAAACACTTTGGCACAGTACATTTTTCTGAGCTCTGAAATGCAACACGTGAACATTACGAAAAGAAAGAAGATGTAAATGGAAGAATGATGGAGTTAAAAGTCTGCATATAAAGGTCAAGTACTGTTTAAACAGATTGATACGATCAAAGGGGAAGCGAAGGTGCAGGATTCTTACCTCAAAGACACAAAAGAAGCTTTTATTCTCTTCAATAACACAGCTGACGAGGATGTGACAAGGTAATAATGTGTGCTACACAGCCAAGACACTTGCGTGAATCATAGGAAAGATTATAGAATCATCATTGTGGAATGCCATTAGCCCTGAGCCCTTATATGTTCAAACTGAATGCTCATAAACAAAATATAGGTTACAATAAATTCCAAAGAGAAAAAACCTAAATATGTTGTAAGTATCGAGACCCAGCAATTCCAGCTGCAAGTCTTTTTGGGTAAGTCTCTACCAGGTTTGGGCACTGACAGGTTGTGTGCTTTCTTCTTGGCAGATCTTTCAAGTTGCTTGGGGATCAATTAGTACAGCATTTTACAAGTCTTACGACATTTTCTCAATAGGATTCAGGTCAGCAGCTCGACTGGGTCACCCAAGGACATTCACTTTCTTATTTTTAAAACACTCTAGTGTTTTGGGCCGTTGGCCTGCTGAAAGGTGAACTTTCATCTCAGTTTTAGGTCTTTAGCAGACTGATTCAAGTTCCTTCAAGATAGGTTTGCATTTTGTTTCATCCATTATCCTCTCATTTTTGAAGTCACACTTTGCTTTTAGACCATAAAGTTACAATTATGTCCCATCTGACCACAAAACCATTTGCCATATGTTGACTGTATCACTCAAGAATCACTTTGTTTCCAACACCATTCAGGACTTTATATGGGTTTATCACTCTCTATGATACATGGCATGCATGTGGTATGGTTGATTCATGGACATTTTCTCCCATTTCAGCTCTTGCACTCTGTAATTATTTCACTGCTGGGTCATGGTGCTATTCCTAACAAGTTTCCTGCTTGCCATGCTGCTCAGTTTGAAGGCACTGATACAGGCAGTGCCTATAAGTAGCATGATGCAATTTCATGATTGAGTGGACTGTGAGGCAGCATGGTAGTGCAGTGGTCAGCATAGCTGCCTCATTGCTGGGACCCTGGGTTCAGTTTGGGACAAGGGTGCTGTCTGCATGGAGTTTATACCGTATGTTTTCCCCATGTTCACACGGGTATCCTCCAGGTGCTCCAGTTTCCTTCCACAGTCAAAAACCTACTGGTAGTTTACTTGGTTTCAGGGGAAATTTGCCCTGATGTGAGTATGTGAGTGTCTGTGTGTGCCCTGCATTGGATTGGCATCCCATCCAGGAAGTATCTTGTATTGCGCCCATTGCTTGCTGGGATAGGCTCCAGCCCCCCTGCGACCCTGAATTGGAAGAAGCATTTAGAAAAAGGATGGGTAAGTAAACTGTGTTCACAGGGATCTTCAGAAACTTTGGTATTTTTGTACCCATCTGATTTGTTATTTTCAATTACTTTACGTCTAACTTGCTTCGAAAGCACCTTATTCTTCATGATTGAGTCTTTCCTTAAAAATCACTGCAAGTGTCGGAATAGCTTTGCAAAGCACTGTACAGTATATGCTGTAAGTAACAAGGTCTTCTACAAATAATATTTTGTTTTTTCCATGTACAATGCCTTTAAAGACTGAAAAGATCTAAAGTGTTAAAAATGCAACACAAAAGCAAGAGTTAAATGACAGAGAGTTTAGTTAGTTAAAGTCAGTTCGTTTCAGACATGATAGTGACAGCTTCAACAGACATTTCCAGATGCACCATTTTCTGTCTGCCACATGATTCTAATAGGTTTTAAAGATCCCTGAACACTGAATGCATTAATAATTTTCCCATTCGTTGTTTGACTTCCTTCTTCCAATCTTACTATATTTCTTCACATTTCTTAGCGTGGCGCTTCTTTAACGTTTTTCTACCCAGTAAACAATGCAAATTCTGTCTGACATACATACAGTAGATGTCCTGAATAGATAACCGCCTCCGTTTACCATAAGATACCATTTCCAATAACTGCAAGGTTTTCAAAAAGCTGTATGAAAACAGGTATGTTGTTTTACATCTCAGCAATGGATATTTTTATTGTTTTCTGTACATTCAGTATACACATGGGGCAGAGGAGCCTATAATTTCTTATATCTCTCTCACGACAAATTTGTCCCACTAAATACAACAAAGGAGAGTATTAACTCAATGCTTGCAATAGTGTTTATCAATGAAATGATCAGTTATGTCCTGTTTATTCAGGGGTCCAAACCAAATCACAAATTCAATACAGCCACACATTGCAGACCCACTACTTGAGTGGGTGTCCATTATGTAACAAAAAAAAATATTATGTACAAAAACCATAAAGTATTGATGGGGTCAAAGATTTAAGTTCATTTAAAAAAGCAAGAATTTTAAAATATATATATAGCAATGGGGAGATCAAGGAGTGATGACACTAGTGACTCAGTATTATGGAAACCAAGTCAGTACCAAGTGCTGAGTGTTAAGGTTCAGACTCCATGAAACAGGAAAAAATACAGTCCTCCTGGAAAGGGACAATTTAGAGTGGCAAATGAGATATAACCTGCCAGTCTTCGAATGTGGGAGGAAACTGGAACACCTGAGAAAAACCCACACAAAAGTGGGAAGGACGTCACACATATGGTTGCTTCAAGCTGCAATCGGACCCAGAAACCTGGAGAACTGAGACTGTAGTCTCAACACGGCAGAGGCTTAGTGTTAAGTGCCTCTGTGCTGCCCTAGGCATGTCTGCCTACCACAGCTATATATTTGTGTATTTTGTGTGCAAACAATACCATCAAATTTGAAAAACACATTTGAAAAACAAAGGTCAATTAGAGCATTCTAAATAACATGCATTCATAATACATACACTGATATATACTGCATAAACACATACAGATATATGTGAGTAAAATAATACAAACATCTATGTGTATGCCAAATTACAGTCCCTCACAAGACTGGAATTAAAGACCAGCAGATCAGCACCACCATTAGAATAATTCCTCTGGTCCTTCTGCAGCTAGGCTCCAGAACTACCAGTCTCGGTCATTCCCAATGACTCAGGGCCACTGATTACCTTTGGGTGTTAAATAGGTTAAAACAAAGTGTGTGGTGGCTATATACAGTAGAAATGTGGTTCTTCTGCCAGCTGAACCACAGATATCTAAAGAGCAACCAAGAGTAACCATGTACTTTATTTTTTATCCCAGCAAGATACAGTAGCAAGAGATGTATCTTTAAACATGGCTACAACCCACAAATACTGATAAAGAACATGATAATTTGATTCGCCCTGGAGCTCGAGTAAAAACCATATGTCAGGAGATGGTTTCTAGAACTGAGCTGCCCCATCCCAGAGGGGTGAATTAAAAATGGACAATATGATATATTATTATTTACAGGTTTTCCCTGCAATAGTCTTCTGTAAAGGTTTTTCTCTTATTGAAGAGTGATAAAAGTCAATAAAGAAGAGGAGTGTAACCCTCAAAATCTCAGGAGCCACAAGTCTAACACACAAGTAAGACTATGATGGAAGAAAGCAGAATAAAGACATAAATTATTAGGAAGTATTTCTTATCTTAACTGCAACAGTACAGTTTCCATTTGTGGTTATGTAAATCACAAAGCACATGCACATTTGGATGGAAAATGCAGAATATGGTCAGAATACCCCATGGGCAGTTTGAGTAATCTCGCTGGGCACTTCCCATGTGTAGTTATTTCCATGTTATGTTATGACAGTCACTCATGTTGGGGGACAGGGGAAGGCAAGAGGTAAGAGACTGTGTTTTTACAAAAGTTGTCAACAGAAAAAAAGGTCACAAATACCAATGATTCATGAGAAGCATAGATGAAAAAAATAACCAAACCAGCTGCTCGTTATCTAATGGTTACTCCTGGTTCTGAAGAGCTCCACGTTCTATAGCAACCCCAAACTTTCTTGCTAAATACTTGGAAGAAGCTGTAATTAGTCCAGTTAAATCCACAACAGTTCAATTAAGCCATTAAGAGCTCAGGTGCAAAGAACACAGCATAAGAATTTGACTTTAAAATAACGAATTCATCAGTTTCATCATCATTATTAAATAACTTTATTGTCCATCCAAAAGGATGAAAATCTGACTCTAGCTTCATACAAGAAACAGTCACTTAGCTGCGTTTAATATACCGAATGCACAGGAACAAAATTATAATCCCTTACAACGATGAGAGGATTGCTCCATTGTTGCCCTTGTTTGTTCATTCAAATACAAGACAGCTTAGGATCTTTGAGAAAAGACCCCCACTCCCTCTCCCCGCCACAGACACACAGTTACAGTATGTTGCTCAGAGGGGTCCAGGCTTGACTGGCAAAAATGGAAGAAAACAATGGGATCTCTAATGCGTTGAGTGAATTTACAATGTGTGAAGATGTTTTCTTAAGGTACTAGCACAGATAAAAATAGGTACAATAAATACAATGGGAAACATGTTTAAAATGATTATGAAATAGTCCAATGGTAACAGTTCAACTTTCTTTAGCATTCAAAATCACACAGAAGATATTCTTAGCAAATCATGCCTTTATATTACATTTAATCTCACTGATTTACAGGTAGATTATAATCCTGATGCAGATTGCAGAAAACTATGATACCAAAAAGGAATGGAGTTAGCTCTCCATTTTATTATTCTGCAAATAATAAAAATATAACTTTACCTTTTATGTAAACCCCAATTTTGTGCCTATATTATTTAAAATATTTTAAGATCTAAATACCCTAGGCAAATAAATCTAAATAATTAAGCCATTTACCTTACACAGTGATTATATTTTGTATCTTAAATTTATTTTCACATATTGCCTGGAACGATTAATGGACCATTTTATGAGAATGCAAGAAAAAAAACAGTATATAAGTCATCATAGTACTGCCTGAGCAGAGACAAAAAATGAATGCAATAGTTATAAATAATAATTTACAGTATGTATAAGGAATGAAAAAAGCTTATGGGCTTTTACATTAGTTCTCTTTGATTATGAGATAAAATAACCTTGAACTTGTCTGGCATACAGAATGCTTCAAACAGGAAGGAAGTTTTGTTGATAAAGCAAAAGCGAACAGCAAATTGAGGACTGAATAACCTCAACCTCCCAGGGACATCTTGTGTGGCCTACAAAATGCACAGCTCTGTTCTCATACTATAAGAAGTATGCATCAGTGTAGTGTGCGGCTTGTTCTAAATCTAACCTCCACAACAAATAAAGCAATTCATAAAGAACTGCTTTCCTCTTCCATTATTTCTTTGTAGAAATTCAGGACCAGACTAGTCAATTTGCACGATTAGTGCTCAAACACATCTGAAATATTTTCTTTTTTACTTCATACACATGAAAAGAGTCAGGAAGCAGACCTGATCAGATATGCCAGAAGTTACTAGAAATGTTGTTGCAGTGGTTAATAACTCCTTCATGTTTGAAAACCTGAATTTCATTCTAAACTGCTTTCTCCATTTTACATTAGACGAGAAAGAACTGGTTCTAAATCTAGTTAAATGTCATGAATGCTTTTTATCCATCACTACATAAAGGTAGTTTGTTCAATTAAATCTAGCCTTTGTTTGCTACATTGAAACCAGTGTCAGTCTGATCTCTTCTTCACTCTTCTGATCTCTTGCACCAGTAGTGTGAACCCCGATCTTTGCAGCAAATTCACTCCCAAGCCATCAACAGCTTGTTGAAATTCACAAACACACCATGACCAGGCTTGCTGAAAGAAAAAAAACAGATTACATGCTACATGACAAGTGTTTGAACAATCAAATGTGAATCAACATTTTATTTGAGAAGTTTATTTATTTAAGAAAATGATGACATGTTATAGAAATTCCCAAAGATCTTCACGGCAGCAACTAGATTTTCACAAGTGAATCCTGTGGCTCATCCTTTTGGACAGACAATAACATTAAATAATAATAATGATGAAGCTGATGAATTAACCATTTTTAAAACTGAGATCAAGGAAAGTCTTCCTCTCATCTGTTAACTGAAGACCTTGGCTAGTTTCTAGCAAGTTTGTGCCAGGGTGCTTATTGCCAGTGATCAGATTTGAACAACGAATATGGCATCTGAGACACACCAAACATCTGATTTCTTATTTATTCTTCTTTCCTATGTGTTCTATGTTTTCTTTGAAAGACAGCTTTGCAAGAGTACTTCATCCTCTGTCCCTGTGGACTGGGGGACCATGAGATCAATTATTACTGTTCACATTATCAGGGCACTTGGCAGGGTAGTGATATAGTCAGGGAGTCCCATTAATCATTAGCTATTGAAGCAATGCACAAAAACACAAGGGTCTTCACCCTGGCATTTTGTCTTACATGCGCTGTGTTTTAGGTGTTTTTGTATTGTAGCACATTACGTCCACATCCCGAAACTTTCATGTAAACCTTTCATGCTTGTTATTCTGTAGGTTGATTTTTCATGTTTAGTTTGTTTTTGACATGCAGCTCATTTATACTGCTTCATTTCAGAATTAACAGTGGCACTCAAGGCAGTAAATCAATATGGTAGAGGCTTGTCTAGAGTCTGTTGGAAAATCATATGGGCTCACCAGTTTCCTGACCTGGACTGGAGGTGTTTCACAACAACTCTATTGTTTTGCTTCCCAGAAGGCTTGGCAAACAGCCTAAAGCTAATATTGTATTATACTGCTGTAAATCTGGAAAGGACTTTAATTTTTTATTCAGTAGAAACAATCCACGCCTCTGATACATTTAAGATAAGAGTGAAAGGTTAACTTGGATGCTACCACATTCATCAGTATAAACACAGATTTAAAAACACCTACCATTTAAAATAGCAGTGGCCCTCATACACTCCATCATGCTGTCCATATTCTGGTGTCTCCAGCTCTACTCCCACACAGAAATCCTGCATACCAGACAGGTATCCCAAGTACTGGATTGTCCCAGTGTTGATTCTCCCAGAAGGAAGCAGCAGGCGGACCCTGTGTCCGATTTGTAAATCCAAGTGGGAATGAGGGACAAACACCCTGTAAGGCTTTGTGTTGCTTCTTGTGGTTACTAAGCTGCAAAGAAAGCAATCGAAGCAGAAATTACATTTCTCTTGTTTCTTGCAGATTCCTTATGCTCTGCAACCTACTTGTCCTGTTATAAATTAACATTAGAAATGTATAAATTAAATTTAACTACAAAGAATCTACAATGTTCACTCCTTGTTGTCATGTACCAATATCACTGCATGTGTGACGACAGTAAGTTTATAGTGCAACTACCAGCACAGAGAAAAAAGGGAACTGTGACATTTTTCTGTGCATTTCTTCAGTGGTTTTCATCACATATAAGAATGCCAGCCATTCTCAGTACACTCCCCCAGCAAAACTGATAGTCCTAACATGATGTGCACAAAAAATAAACTGTAGGAACAACTGACAAAAGTCAACAGGATACATTCCAACTTTCAGACTTAAGTTCTGCCCCAGTGCCTTACTCCAAGTCAGATTAGGGTCAGACGCTGGATGGGAATTCAAGTAATATTTTGCACCAGACATTAAAAAAGAAAGTTCTCTGGTTTGTCTTTGTTGCCTCATTTTGTTTACAGTACAGAGCAGTGAAAAGATTTAATCAGTGTTTGTTTTTTTTGGTTGTGGTTCAAGTTAAAAGTGTGAGGGACACAAATTTCTGCCAGGCATGAAAGCAGAGCTCTCTTGGTGGGGTTTGGGAGTGATTTATACTGGATTTTAAATAAGGGTTGCAGAAATAAAAAGAAACATTACAGGGTTAAAAGAGAAAGGATGTGTACAGGGGAAAGGGGATGAAGCAGGTGAGAAGCAGTTTCATAACAGCAACTGATATCTCTGTGGTGTACATTTTCTTGTGTCGCAATAAGGCAGGAAGGAGTGATAAAGGTAATGATTGCACTGAATTCTTGAAATATGCTACACTGTGCGGTCTACCTCACTTCTGCTTCTAACGCACACTCTGTGGGTTTCTCTGCTAAACTGACATCAGTAGTTCAAGGTAGTAACTTCTCTACAGGTTCGTTTTTAACCTTGACAGGATGAACAGAGGAAAAAAAACTAGGTGAGTATGTTCATGCATGGGTGTGGGGGATTTCCAGTCCTCGAGAGTCAAAATCCAACACGTTGTGTATGGTTGCTGTTGTTTAGTCATTTAGTCGAGTCCGACTCCTCGTGACCTCATGGGCTTTAGCATGCCAGAGCTGTCTGTCAACAACTGCTTCTCTGAGCTCAGTACTTCAGTAATGCTATCTATCTTAACCTCTGCCGCCCCTTCCTCTGTTCCCTTCCATCTTTCCCAACATCAGAGTCTTCTCCAGTGAATCCTGTCTTCACATTTTATAGTTTTACTATCAATCCTTCCAATGAACAATCTGTGTTTATTTCCTTGAGTACCGACTGATTTGATCTTGGAACTCTCAACAATTTGCTTCAACACCACAGTTCGAAAGCATCTATTTTCTGCCGCACAGCCTTACTTATTTTATAAGTTATACTGTAGTCCAACTCTCACATCTATATATTACTACAGGGAAGACCATAGCTTTCACTATAAGGCTCTTTGTTGACAATGTAATATCTTTGCACTTTAATATCTTATCCAGATTTGCCATAGCTTTCCTCCCAAAAGGTAGGTCACCCTTGCTGATCAGTTTAAAAAATGTCATTTTGCGATCAATTTAAAATGCCTTTTCTTCAGTCAAATTGGGAGAGGACAGTTCTGGAAATATATATATTCATATATTCATTGCAATGGATTGCCAAAACCTCTTTTAACATTCATTCAGCATGTGCAATAGAACTGAGCCAGCTTGATCACCTGTGGAGTGCGATGCGCACAGTTACTACACTGTTTAGTTAGGAGGCAGTTAATCTACTATATGCTTCTATATTGTGTCATCATTAAATGTTGATTTGTGTAGGCTGGCCACACAGCAGACCCTGGCTAGTCCAGAGCTTGTTCTGCAGGGCACGGTATATACAATCAGGGATTGTCCAGCAGGAATCCGGCTTTTGCAAACTGTATGGGCAGGAGATGGAAGGAGAAGCTCTGACAGAGGAACACAACTCTGGCAACCAAGGAAGACCTTCATATTCCTGAGAATATGCACCTTGTTGAATGCATTTCACAAAGGACTTATGTAAGCAGTAAATCACCCCTAATTCGAAACATGATCTGGTGACTGAGATTGGGTGTCTGTACACAAAAATAAAGAGACTTATTTAAAAAAACTAAATTATTCCTTTTATCTAAATAATACATCTTGCATTGCCAATTTATTTGACAGGCCTAGTGCTTAGATACATTTCAATTGTTTTGTCAGTTAATGAAGTTATATAAAGTTGAAGGGCTATATACAAACAGCTTTCAGAGGCTGATTTCCTGACAGGCCAAATGCAGCCCTCAAGTGAATTGTGGATGGTGGAGTACAAAGCTATTGGGTGTAGCACTAATACATGGGTGAAAAGTGTTACTGTATACAGTATATCACCCTTCAGTACTTTTGCTCCTACAGGAGTATAGATCCTCTACTGTCCTCCTCTTCAGGGATGTGCTCAGGTAGATCCCAGGTCTCCTTAGTATCCATGCATTGGAAATTTGACCAGTGCATAACAATCATGCTTAGCCTCTTACTTAACGGAAATACTCCTCATGGTGACATGAGTACAAGTTGTCCTATGTAATTATTTTGTTTGTTTGATATGATTGCTTGAGTTATATGATTGTTTGTCTTTAAGAAAAGAGTTCCAGAAAACAGCCGTGAACCTTTTCTGTGGAGGATGATCCTCTGGACTTTTCTCGATAGCAATTTCCATTTATTCTATTTTACATTCACATCACCAATGGACCCCACAACGTCTATGCAAGTTAAAATACATATAGGTGAATAATGCCATTTTCTGTCAACATTTTCTTCAGGAGACAGTGCACATGTGTTGCATCAAAAAGCACAGGTATATGCCAGAATTCTCAATTTATCACCATTTCCTTATCTATGCAAGCACAGCAGTTTACATAGATAACAATGTGGTTTTCCTCCAAATAATAATCCCAATTTAATTTTGTGGTTTAGTCTTTCCCATAGAAACAAAATATACAGTAGGACACTATGCAAAGTAGTTACAGGAATTCTAGAACTTTGGCTGCAGTTATTGTTCCTTCTCCTCCTAAGAAACATGGTCAAAATAATTTAATGAATACATTAATTCTAAAATACTGTATTGTAAAACAAACACACAACCAACCTGCTGTTTCTGGAAGTAGACGACGAGGGTCTAGAGCTATTCGAAGAAGACCAGGAGAGAAGGCTCCCAGACAGATCACGCTTAGAACTGGCAGACAGGTTTTCACTTTTCAGCAAAATCACATCTGTTTTCCTTTGGTGGTGTGGAAGAGGTTCCTCGCCTGAGAGTGATCAAATGCATTTCTCATACAAAAAAAAAACACTGAACTGATTTTCAGTCAGTCACAAACAAAAACACGGGTGCCTGTCATTTGAAGCTTTGAAATTATTCTGTTGATGAACAAGTGGGTTTAACATACAGCAATGTGGACAAGTGGTTAAGTGTCTGGCCTTTGTGCAGAGACTTGTGGGTTTAGATCCCAGGTGGCCACACTGCTGCTGTATCCTTCGGCATGGTCCTTTACCCAGATAGCTCCAGCAACCCTGCTGTGTAACATGGTTTCCCATTTTGTATGGGCTAAACAAGGATGGAAAAGTAATAGCAGTAAGCTGCTTTGGAAAAAGATGTAGCCTGCTTTATAATAATGCAAGGTTTAATACGAGTCTTACAGTGCATCTTTATTGTATTTCTGAAATTGAATCATCTCTCTCCTCTGGACAAATCAAAGTAAGTATAATCAAGAACAAACACACAGAAGTAGGTACAATTTTAAAGCATGCATATTTTTAATGGAACTGAAATAGCATATATGCTAAGACAACTGAAATTTAATGAGAGTGGACATTTTACATGCAGTGCATAGCATGAAAAATGTAACATTGTGGCTAACATGTTTAATGGATAGATGATTCATTTTACTGTAGTAATGTATGATCACTTTTTGCATTTTGAACTTACTTTGCTTACTTGCACAAGCATCAAGCATGCAGTGATTTTCCAGGTCAGATTTGGATGTCGTTATGTCACTCTCTATGAAGCCACTGATATCATCTTCGAATAGAGCTCCATTTCTTGCCAAGATTTCTGATATGAGCTGGAAAAATTTTAAAAAGTAGATTACTTGCCCATTTGAATGACTTTAGGATCTTGCTGTGTACATTTTTCTATATTGGTGTGGAAGTGTGAAATAGCTGCATGTTGCGGCTTGCTTCTGAACTCTCGCTGCCAAATTAAAAAAATGAAAGCCAAAACAAATATCGACATACAAGTTAATTGTTTTTTGGCAGACACACTGATTTTATTTCCCCCTGCAGTGGTATATAAATGTGTTATTATTTTAAATTAATTTTCCAATGTATTGCATGTTACTAAAACCACTAATGTACTGTAAAATACCACCAATCATTAAACCATCTCTAGGTTATCAATACTTATTAACACTCACAACTAACAACTACAGCAAAGAGTGTTCAAAAGTTGTCATATGAGAAATTCATATAAGAAAAATGGACCCTGTGAGGGAATTCATCTCCGATTTTCCAATAAATCCAATCTTGTATGATCATTTTGACAAATAATGCCTCATTCTACCTTACAGAAGAACTGCATAGAAATATTTTCCACATTTATTTACACAGGACAAGAAAATCTAGAAGGAAACGAAAGTACTTAATCCATCATAGAAGGTGTTCCTAAACTCTAGGTCTTTGGGTCTAGAATTCATTAAGGTTTTTAGTCTCTTTAAATCATCAATAGTATAAGAGTCAAGGGGAAGAGTAACCCTTCTCCTAGATATATAGTTGTTTTAACTTAAAGAGACTGAGAATGCATGCTTGCTTGTGAACCTGTCAGGAACCTTGCAACAGTCTTTATGGATGCATATTCAGATACCTGTGGAGAAGGATATACCTGATCTCTCAGTTCCAGCTGTTTTCTCTGCAGCTCCAGAAACCTCTTTTCCCAAACAGCTTTTTCCTTTGAAATCTGTGATTTCAATAGCTGAATTTCACTCTCAGCTTTGGATAATCTCTTGCGAACCAAATTACTGCAGTCATGAAGGTTTGACGTCTCTTCTGAGACTTCAGTATCTAGAAGGAATGTTCAATAGAAAAAATGGTATAAGTGCACTTGGCACAGAGAAATGTGTTATTAGCAGACATCCCACAACCTCCAATAGGTATTTCAGTTTTTTTGCACTGAAGGGCCTCTGTTGTTTTACAGGCACTGATGTTTCCTACAATTTTGGGTTTTGTAAAGAATGCAGCACTCTGAAACACTACTCATTCAAGTTTAAAATCAAGATTAGTCATCTCAGACAAATTAATCTCCATTTTACAGAGCTCCAGTTCATGGTGAGCACCCTTTCAAATCACAAGCAAAGGTGGTGGTGTAAAGGTAAGATTTGTTTCTGAAAGGATAGATTGAAATATTGCGCTTTGAAGCATCTTGAAACATCAGAAAACTGTTTTCTGACATGTTATGCGCTCCCTCTGCTGGAAGTATGCGTGCATAACATCCTACGTCAAGATTACACTCGAGAGATAAAAACATTTTTATTTCGCGATTTAAAATTTCACCGTATTGTATTTTATAGTATTATTCTAGACTACATACTACAAAAAACATGGAACTTCTGCTGTAAGGTACATCCAGTAGAATAATCTGAGCAAAATAAACATCAACACAGCCTCAAATTAAAATGTTTCATTTCTGGCACCACTATTGAGGGTGTTCGTGGCGTAATGTAATAATAAAAGACTTGCACAACGTATTAACCTGAAATATTACTTTAATTAAAAACTTTTTAACTTCTCATCAGGAAAAAAAAATGATGAACCACAAACCTGTTTTTTCAAGCTTGGGGCTGTGAACTGTAAAATCTACAATCTTTCGCTTTTTACTGAGATAAGAAGACGTGATTGCTTGGAATGGGGTCACCTGGAATGAAAGACAGAAAAGTGAAAAACTTGGCCACAGTATGGAAACAACAGAAACGCCTAGTTATCCCTTCAAAGAGTTCCCAAGAAAACATTAGCCTATTCCGTTAAAATATTTAAATAAGAGTGATCGTGCTACACTTGGTACAAAAGAGATGGAACACATTTTACAAATATAGTACATCGAAAACTCTAAAATAAAACCTTTAGTCCTTTTAAATGGTTACATTTTAAGCAATTGAAGTCTAAAAAATTCCAACGAAATTAAAACTACATCAAGAATTCGTTATTGAAGTTTTTATTTTTCAGTCTTAAATGATAGGAGGTTGGCAAGACTTGCATATTCATTTATGTTAAAATTTATATAGAAATGCATGAATCTGCAAGTTCTACTATGTTTACTTTTCACATACTGTATAACAGTAAAGCTCATCAGTGAGCTCTGAATTCCAGATTATTTGTTTGCTTGCCCAACGATGTGAATGTGAAACCACAACGTTTGTTTAAATTACTATGGTTTTGTCATTCCTTTCTAGATATCATTTAGCACTGCATGTTATTTTAAAAAATGTAATAATAGTGTTACTGGGAAGTGCACAGCAATAAAACATAGGCTTTTGGCTATAATTACATCATGCAGTCCTGTCAGCTACAGACTAATAGCTCTCATCCTACATAACTACCATACTGTATATAGCTTTGCTTAATATCTGTCTTTATTCTTAAATAAAATCCCCATCAACACACCTGTATCTTGTTAAATGCAAACAGGCAATTAAATAAATACATAGGTTTTACTATCTTCACGTATGCTTTTATTTTGCTACTTTATAGTGTAGAGCCTGAAAGTTTTTTTACTTACCCACATAAATCTCCAGAAACATATCAGTCCTCTAAATGTCCAATCTAACATAGACCAGAACACACAGAAGACCATATTGAAGCCAGCTAGATCTGTGAACTATATACCCATTAGTGGAGCTATAAAGAAAAGGGATACAACAACAAACAGCTTCATCCAGTGGTGCAGAAATGTGGGTTAAGTCAGACACTATAAGCTTTTAGCCTGCATGTAATTACCATTTATTTTTTAGCAACAACTTTAAAAAGTCAACGCTTGAAAACATTATTTATTTTACCCAATAGAGGCTTTGCTTCAGCCATGTTGCAGTGGTTTAGTTAGAATCTGCGAGGGGACATATGAAACACAGTTTCTCAATGAGCATTTTAGCTCTCAAGGAAAATGAACATATCTAATTGATTTCTATACATTTACATATGACCAGCATATGCTGCCAGCAGCAGCCACTGAGGGCTCATGATTGAAGGACAGAGTAGCAGAACACATATAGTACAACTATTTTAGCCCTGCTGTCAGTTCTGCTAAATAATATCAGAAATCAGCATAGCCTAGTACATATTGCAGCTAATGCTACCTTTTAGTTCTGTGTCTTGGGAATCCTTAAAGCCTTTTCTAGAGAGATCCAATTGCTGCCATGTGGTGTGGAAGCCTTTTCTAGGTCAGAATGTAGTTACAGCCCAGGCGTGTTCCCTTGGCTATCGCCCTGTGTATAAATTCCCTGCTGTTGCTATGAGGGTTTGTTGACAGGTGAGAACCAATCCAGTTAATAAATCTAACCTAATCCTCTTAGCCATTGGTGCTGGACATCCAGTGGAACTCATACAAAAGTGAATTTGCCACTCTGCCCTAGTTAGCATGGTTTAAATCGTTCCTCTTTTGGTTATGTTTGAAAAGAAATGCCAGTTCTAGTTTTTCTAGACAAAACATAAAATAAGGTATTTGTTATTCTTGGAACACAGGACTAGTCCCAGAAATCACCCCCAGTGATTTTCAGATAATATACAAGATTTTATACAAAATCAAAACCTCACTGTTTACAGTGTTATTTAGATGCATATAAAACTGTTGCATACGAACATACTGTATTGCCAGGTTTTAAAAGGGCAAAGGTTTGAGTTGTTATTAGTTGACTAACAGTAATAAAGCAATAATAATTATACATTCTGCTTGCTTCCACCTTTCTCATCTATACGACACCCAAGGGTACAGTTATATTTCACAAAGAAGCAAAAAGATAGCACTGTAACTCTTGGTCTCTACTGTGAGGAACTTCCGTGGCGCATAATATTTAAATGTCATGCTCGTCCAGAACTTAAAAACCACAGTTGCTCACTAATCAACGTAACCAACTATTACTGAGAACCGAAATGATTTGGTATTGTAACGCTTACGGGTTCGTGCAGGACGAAATTAATCGGAGACGGACTAAACTCACTAACACCAATTTTTACTCTCCTTTACGTAAACAGACCACGGGATTTACGCACACATTACGGGACCAAGGGAACATGTACTCGGGTTTATGGTGGTAACTCTTTAACAGACTCTACACACTAACTTATAGGGCACTAAACTTCAGGGAACACTTAAACTAACACAGGTATATTTACATGAGTAGGGTCAGCTGCTGCTTACGGTTACGGACCCTCGGACTCCCCCGGCCTACAATTCCCAGCCTGCTTTGCGGTAGCCTCAACGCCGAGGTGCACTTCCTCCTCACCACCGGGCGATGTGTTTATTTGATATTGACAGTGTTTCGGATGAGTAAAATATAAAGTATTAAGTGCTGGTTTGAATATCTAAATTGAATTCATGAATTATTTTTTTCCTGTATTAACTTTTAAAATAGCGGTAATGATTTTGAGAAGTTACGACTTGACCAACACAAAAATGGACATGACGTCCCGGAATCTTTCGACTGCGTTTGTTGTTTCTCAGTTTGACACCGGACACTTTAGGGAGATGCTTTCCGGTAGTCTGTGATGTGGTGCGTGTTGCATTCGCCTCCGTCTGTGTGTTGTGACTGTACGGGAGTGAAGCGGGAAAGGCTACAACTTGTCTTTTGTATTTGTTTCTTGTTTCATTAAAACATGGAGACCATTTTGGAGCAGCAGCGGCGCTACCATGAGGAAAAAGAAAGGCTCATGGATGCCAAGACAAAAGAAATGCTACACAAAAAAACTACGGTAACTTGCGCAGCACCCGCCTTTGAGTTAGGCCCGTGTTTGTGGACCCGCAGATCCCGGCAAATTAGGGCAAACCTTTTTTTAGAAAAAAAGAAATCAGTAGGTCGGTTCTGTGTTGTTTATTTTAATGTTGCAGAACTCTTTCGTTGTTTCAAAATGTTTTACGTTCAAATAATATACTTGGTTTTAGACTGCATAAATAAATACTAGGTGCTTTAAGAGATTTCAGAGGCTGTTTTCAAGTTGTGGTGCACAGTTGTTTTCAGTGTTTTTATTCACAACCGCATACTTTAACTAATTACCTGGTTGAATGTAAAAAATGTAACCGCTTTCCTTGTTTTTAAGGTATTGGGTCTCTTCTACGCGTGTGAATACGTTTTTTAAACATTTTATTTTTGACCATATGAAGCAAACGATCTGCTTGCAGTTTTTGATTTTCCTTCACCGAGATTTGGAGCTGCTTGTGAACTTGAATAGATGAGCTGATTTTGCTTCACATGAGTTATATTCACGCTTTGTATTCTAGTGAAAAATTAGCAATCGGAAGTGGGATGCAGAAATAAAGTAGCTGGTGCCTTTTAACTTGCCCTTTCACCTATTTCTTTATTTAAATTATAGTCTTATTTGGAGGTGTAATTAAAAGTTCTTAGTATTATTACAAATTCTAGTTGTACTTTGGAGGATACAGTGACAGGTAACTTTCTGCTTCAAGCAACATAATTACCGTCCGTGATTTTGTCAACGGTGACGTTGGTCACACTCATATGTGTGCCGTATATGTATGGATTTTGGCAAACTATACATTCTGATTTGTCACAGAGCTGATTTTCTCTTTCTTGTTTAGTTAAGGGACCAGATAAACTCAGATCACCGGACAAGAGCAATGCTGGATGTGAGTAATGCGTTTATTTCCTATCTTAAGTCCTACAGCCACGTCGGATATTTGCTTGATTTGTGGTCCTTTTTTATTTCATGGGTAATTAAATAACATCCAGGAATTGGATGCTTGGAATGCTTGGTGAGACAAGCTTGGCTTAACCTGCTTGGTTAAACCCAGTTCAGACCAAGGGGCAGCTGCAAGGTGGAGACGGGTTTGAGTTGAGTATATGTAGCGAGTTACGTCATGATGATGGTGACTAGGTACAGCTCTGTGAGACTGACTTGTCACCCTTCCCGCACTTCAGTCAATAACTTCCACGTAATAAAATATAAGATTGTACCTCGTTAAGTATGTTTTAGAAAATACAACCGCATTTTAATTGCTTTTCCAGAGGTACATGGAAGTGAGTGCAAATCTGCGGGATTCCTATGAAGATAAAGATGGGTGAGTCTGTGGATCCAGCGGTTATTTCTGCTGGTATTGATATAAACACGTCATTGCAGAATGATTAAAAATGCTGCATGAACTCTTACTTCAGATGATCTGATTTTCGTCAACGAGTAGATTGCCAAACTAAATTGTTCTGCTGTGCTCTGAACAAATCACCAGAGAGTACCAGATTCTTCAGTTGCCTGTTGGTAGATTTGTCATACAAAGGAATTAAAACTAACTTGCTTTCACATATTGAGCAGGTAACATTTTGAGATGACTTTATATAACCATGACATTAGTAGATATTTACAAATGCATTTCTAAATATTTGGGTTTTTTTTTTTATTTGAATATAATGTTTCTTTCTGCATGCCTGTCCTCACAGAATGAGAAAGGAGGAGCTCAGTGCTATTTCGGGACCAAATGAATTTGCTGAATTCTACAACCGGTTGAAGCAGATAAAGGAATTTCACAGGAAACACCCCAATGAGGTGAACTTACACACAACAACAAGGCATTTACCTGAGATTGCACTTAAATTGTGATCTAACGTTTCATATTAAACATGCTTTTCTGTTCCAGAACTGTTTATCCTTCTTTCTTAATCATGTTAATGTTTTTTGATCATTTAGATCTGTGTTCCCATGTCTGTTGAATTTGAAGAGCTAATGAAAGCCAGAGAAAACCCCAGTGAAGAAGCACAGAGTAAGACGAAAATCTTTTGAGATTAATCCAATTATGATTTGGAAGGAAAGCAAATCCTTTTTACATGAATGCATTATCTAACTCCTTTCACAGTAAATCTTTTCTTAGATCTCTTCCTAGTCTCTTTCTTTAGTTTATTTTGTGACCTTGTTGACTTTTTTTCTAGTGGTATTTCTGCATTGTTAATGTCAGAGATGTAAACCTGATGAAGAAGGCAGAATTATGACTCAGAATAACAGTTATTTGGTGATGTTATCTTGAGAAACAAATATCTTTAGTTGTGTTCTAACCTATTGTTCGTAAAACACTCACTTCTTAATGTTTTTTTAAATATTGTTAGATTTAGTTGAATTCACTGATGAGGAAGGATATGGGCGATATCTTGATCTTCATGATTGTTACCTGAAGTACATCAACCTGAAAGGAGCAGAGGTAAGATCTTGGATTTAGCTTTATTTTGTTTCACTTGTGCACTTGGATATCATTAACTGCTGGATAAGGAAATAAAAATGGGTATTTGATCAGGATTGTCCATTTGGGTACGAATAGATCATTGTTCCTACCAAGAATCTGCTTTATGCATGGATAACTTTCAAGAAGTGCTTTGTGTCTTAAATCGATTTTCATTTAGTTGTCTTTTGTATTGTCTGGGTTGCAGTACATTGTAAATCTGAAGACATTGTTGTCCTGACTTTGTCGGTACCTTTGAGAATTTTGAGATTAATGTCTTTCAATATCGCATTCCAACAATCTCAGGAATATACTCAACCACTCTGCATTTGCCTGCTTCCAGAGCCACAACCTTTTTTAAAGAGTCCATCGAAACAGTACACAATTATCAAAAGGAGCTCACTAATGTTTCTTTTTCTTTTTAGAAAATTGAATATATTACGTATCTGTCAACATTTGATCAGCTATTTGACATTGCAAAAGAAAGAAAAAATGCAGAGTACAAAAAGTAAGTCCAAGTTTGTTGCTTCACATTTTTCTCAGATCTGTAATCTTACATTAGTTTTATTCATTGTAAAGATGTCATGACCGCCGTAACACAGCTGTCTATTCAAGAAACACACTCAAATCTTTTTGTTCATCTTTAGGTACCTGGAAATGCTTTTAGAGTACCTTCAGGACTACACTGACAGAGTTAAGCCCTTGCTAGATCAGAATGAATTGTTCAACAAAATACTTAACGAGTTTGAGAAGAAGTGGGAAAATGGTACCTTTCCTGGCTGGCCGGTATGTTGACCAAAGTGCTTGAGCTCCAGAATGCTCACGTTAAAAAAAAAAAAAAAAAAAAAAACTTGGTGTACTGTTTTATGTATTATTTTTGTGCAGTTGCACAACTATAACAGGACTGCTGTTAAATGTTTTATCACTTTTTGCTGTTAGAGAAATTGCATATTAATGAACTGTAAACTGCTAATAAGTACCATTATCCAAATATACAGTTAGGTAATGGAAATAAAATTAAAGGCAATGTCACATTATGTAGTTTAAAAAGAGAAACTTTGGCCGTAGGCATGTAAATGTATTTGAGCGTCTGTGTGTTCCTGGTTGGAAAATAATTTGGGTTGTCGGCAATTTCCGTGGGAAAGTCAGCTCACTTCTGTTTTGTCTTCTTAACAGAAAGAGACTAGTAGTGCACTGACCCATGCTGGAGCTCACTTAGATCTTTCTGCGTTTTCGTCTTGGGAGGTAAGATATATTTTCCACGTGTTACCATGACGTGTAAGTTGCCTTTTTAATTCCTTTCTTACACACAGTGCTTCTTCCTGTTCCCAAACAGGAGCTGGCATCTTTGGGATTGGATAGATTGAAGTCTGCTCTCATGGCTTTAGGCTTGAAATGTGGAGGGTAAGTATGGTTAGAAAAATTAATTTGATATCCTAGCCATTTCAATGCACATCTTCGCTTCATTTCTATCACAACCAAAATGTCATTGTCATGACTTTTTTCTACCAGTCAATCAGATCGGAACTCTTTGGCCTGTGGTGAATGCTGCTGTACTTTGTTTTGTCCTTTGATCCCTGGGTCAGACTTTAGTGGACACAAGTGTCATCATCCTTTTGTGTTGTATAAAATGACACACTTGTGCATATCCTTTGTGGTTTTATATATAGTCTTTCCTTGTGTGTGTGTGTGGGATCTGGTTGGTTTTGTTCCACTGTAGTACAGCTCACCTGATGCCCCTCCATATTTGATCCTTATCCAGTGGTCTCCATGTCTATGCACCCGTCTCTCTTTATAATATTAGAAAAGATAAAAAAAATGACTGTTAAAAGGGTGTGAAAGTAATATTCTGTTGAGTGCGTTTTTATCAGATTACGGTGTTTATTTCTTATTAAGGACTTTAGAGGAAAGGGCACAGAGGCTTTTCGGCACAAAGGGAATGTCTCTAGAATCGCTGGATCCCTCGCTTTTTGCCAAGAATCCCAAATCCAAAGGACCAAAAAAGTAAGAATCTTTACAGTTACCGATTTATTGAATATCATGTTCAATTTGATATTGATTCATATCGTATATGAATTATGTCATGGCAATGTAAAAATCAGAAAATAATACTGGTCAGATATTGTTCCCAAATTTAAAGTGATTGGTGTGTCTGCTAAAAGCATGTTTTCCCACGATTCTTGACTCTCTTGTCTGATGTCTTTCACACCACAATTGTCATGTGGCCCTGTGCTGTTTCTAAAGTAAAAGATTCACATTGTTTTTGTAGGGACACAGAACGTAATAAAGAAATTGGTTTCCTTGAAGCGCAAATCTACGAGTACGTGGAAATCCTAGGGGTGAGTTGTTGATCGTATGGAGCTGTAGTATTATTACCAACACTGTTGCAGTTAAAAAGGATAATTAAATTGTTTGATACAGTTTTGATAGAAGCTGATGAAGAGACCCTTTTCTCACGTATGTTACTGGAGAGAAACAGCAAGTCTGGCAGTGGCCGGCACCTCACATGATCCTCACTGTTTCCGTAGGAACAAAGGCAGCTGACTCACGAGAACGTGCAGAGGAAACAGGCACGCACAGGGGAGGAGAGAGAGGAAGAGGAGGAGGAGCAGCTGAGCGAGAGCGAGAGTGAGGATGAAGACAACGAGATCATTTACAATCCCAAAAACCTGCCCCTGGGCTGGGATGGCAAGGTACACACCCTGATTTTTACCCTGGCCTTTACACTGTCCACAGCAGGTCCTGGTGACTTCCTAAGACAGGTTCCTAAGTCATTCATCTCTGATGTGTAAATGCCAAGCACCCTCCAAAATATGCCACTGCCTTAATACATTGAAAATACTGAAACTTTACAACCTAAAACATAGGTTTATAATTGGTGGTTAATATTACACCCACAGAAGCCTGTTTGTTTGGCAGAAAATACACAATTTACTGGTGTATTTCATCTATATTGATACTTTTATAGCATGGCTTACAGACCAAGCACTGAAAAAATCCAGTCCCCAGCTAGTTAGTGCAGATGTGCATGCCCGTCATCCAGTTTCTGATTTTAATGAAAGTGAAAGTGATGTTTAATAATATCTTTTGGTTATCAAATGATACAGCTACGTGTCCTTTGAATTTTTTATTCCTGTTTTTTGGTGCTTTCAGCCCATTCCATACTGGCTCTACAAACTTCATGGTCTGAACATTAACTACAACTGTGAGATATGTGGAAACTACACTTACCGAGGACCCAAAGCGTTTCAGCGTCACTTTGCGGTAAGTTTTTACAAAAACGTAAAAAATGCCAGGAAAGGTAATTCTTTCTTTACAATGCGCAGTTTAAATTGGAGGCGATCATGTGTGAAATAAGGAAGTATAGGCTTGATAACAAGGAAAAAGATCATCTGCATTTGCAATTTTAAGATTTATTAATTTGTCCTTTCCAGATGCTTTGAATTGCAAATGTAGTAAAATTTGCACATTATATTCAGCGGTCCCTAACACAAGGTTAGCCATTCATCTTTTGTAAAGGAGCAAGTAAAGTTTTAGTCTTCTCTTTTCAGCCTGGAAAAGAAACGCAACATTTCAGCTGTTCTTCAGGTGTCCGAAACGTTGTTTCTTTTCTTCTCTTTTCAGCATGGAATAAACCTTTGTTTCTTTGCAGCCTGCGCATGCTGACGCAGCTCCCTACTTGTATATCTTTTGTGTTTTTTAAATCTCCTCACGGTTTCCTTTGCCATCAGGAGTGGCGTCATGCTCATGGCATGAGATGTCTTGGCATTCCCAATACTGCCCACTTTGCCAACGTCACACAGATTGAGGATGCAGTTTCACGTGAGTAGAATATCTCAGTGGGGTAATAATGAGTCATCAAGCCATTTGAATAGACTGGCTAAAATGTATTCTAAAATACATTTTAAAGACTGGATCTGTATTATTGTTTTTTTAATAGTTTGGGCCAAGCTGAAGACACTGAAGGCATCTGAAAGATGGCAACCAGACACAGAGGTGGGTTCATTTTTACAATGTTTTAATACTGTTATGAATAGCTCAGTCAGAGTAGCCAAGGTATTGACACACAGACACAAATACTGTTTTTGTAGCCTAGATCAACAAACAGGTGACTGGTGTTGCTTGTTGGAGATTGATGGAGGGAATGTGATAGGGTGGTTGTGTAAGGTTAACATCTTGGAAGTTTGTATTTTTCTTTTGAAGTCCACTATACAGATACAACCCTGTATCCTTTCAGTTCCTTGAACATTTTTTATTTTATTAATTTGTTTTAAAATGTATTCAGGTAATTTTGACAATCTTAAGACAACTTATATATAGTCATGTATAAGAATAAGGGCACAAATGGGAACAAATGAGTTTATTGCATTATTCAGAGTCCCAGTATGGTATTCCCCAAATCCTAATTTTGTTCCAGTTCACATACAAGAGACAGAAAATTACAAAATCCAAACAATTCCTGTAACAACAGGATAGTGAGAAAAGAAAATGGCCACAAGATGGAGTTAACGGCTCATTGTTTTTAACTACAGGAGGAGTACGAAGACTCCAGTGGAAACGTGGTCAACAAAAAGACATACGAGGACTTAAAACGACAGGGTCTGCTGTAAAAATGAACATTGTGAAGGAAGTCTGTGCGAGATGAAAGGCTCTACCCTCCTGATTTTATCCCATTTCACAGCTGAGGCACACATCTCATTGCTTTGCAGGATGTTTTATTTTTTACACCTTAACTCAGCTGTAACATTTTGTGTCATCCAATTCCATAACATTGCTTTTGTTTAAATTCTTCATTGGCCAACTTTTGTTTAAAATGATCTTTAAAATGTGATCTCACTGTATTTAATAAAAATTTTGATTTCCTGGTTTCTTTGTCGTTTACTATTCCTTGTGCAATGGGATTGGGGTTCTTGTTTTAATTGGTTGCATTCAGTTTAATACACTTCAAGCCAAACCTGTCCATTATAACAAACAGGTCAAATCCTGGTACAGTTGTATGAAAAGTAAAGATGTCTGGGGAAAAAACAAGTCTTCAAATTCCACTTCTGGGAGCCACACAAAATATGAAAACCAGAGAAATACAAAGTGATTTTTTTTCACTTATATGTTAATAGAACGAGCAATGCTTATTTAAAGAAGGAAAGGGAAAATAATTCCTTTTCCTGCGATTACAATTTCTTTTCCTAATCCCTGAAAGACCTTGATTAACATACAAGAGAAAATAAAATATAAGAGCAAATGTCCCACCCAGTGTTTTAGAAAATGTATTTTATGTTTATATAGGAGAAAGTTTGTTTGTGTTTACTTTATCTGCATCATTTTAAATTGTACATTATGAAGTTTTCATTTTTCCAGGTCCCACCTTGATATCTTCAAGTAAATATCAAAATTCAGTTTTTTTTAGTTACTTGACATTTTGTAGTATTAAGAAATGAACATGGTGCATATTTAGTGGTGCATGCAAGTCGGTGACAACAAGTTGGTCAGATTTCTTTAAGAAGGAAATGATCAAAAGATGTTCCGGTCTTAATATTCTTTATCTATTCTAGAGCAGTTTATGAAAGTGCATTGCTGATAATTTCTCATCCTTGTTAAAAATATTAAATTTTTTTCAGGAAAAGATCTACAGGAAAATGTCCTGTGTTTCTATTTTGAAATAAAGTAGCTGTGCATGGTTTTTACAACTGCAGTACATGGATTAAATATCTTGCATTAATTGCATTCATAAATGTAAGCAATTTACTGCGCAAAACCACAGAGCTGTTATGTAGTTTAAAAGATCCCTTTTGTTAACTCAAAATGATCCGATTACCTTTGTTTGCAGTCTTTTCTGCAAATATTTTCTATTGTTCTGGAAGGATGGTGGCATAAATGTGTCATAAAGAACTCTGTTGTGTGTCACTTGTTATGAGTTAGAAATCCCTCTAACCTTCTCTTTACTTGTGCTTATGACCAACATAGGATTTCTTGTCCTGTGAAATTTGAGAAGCTATACAATTTTTAGAAGAGTGAGATATTGAAGGTTTGGATTGTTTGAAATAATGGTTAATATAATCCAGGATCAAACACAGGGTTTATGGTGAAACCCAACCTTACCAAAGAGAATTAGGTATAAAGTTCTCTAAACACAATCCAACAGTCACTTTTATGTGGTTCTTTTTAATGTAAAATAGAATCTACTGTCTTATCCCATCACCACCCCCAAGTTGCCACTTTGTGCACTTAAAGATTTTATCTTTCCTGGATTTCAATTTAGCACCTTTAAACAGAACAAAAAAATGTTAGTATAGTTGGATGACTATAAGCCTGGATGGTTTTAATTTGTTGCAGCACATAAGGATTACAAGATGTCTTGAGCTACTTTAAAAAGGCTGAAATAATCCCTAAATGAGAGAGCCAAAACTAACAAAGTGCACTTGTCCTTTGTTTACCCAGGAGCTCAAGTGTGGCATGTGTGCTTAGACCTTGAAGAGCTGTGCACACACTGGAGTTTCATCCAGCAGGTTCAGGAAAACCATGTAACATTTGTTTTTCTGTTCTAATGAATGGCTGCCAGTCTGTCTTAGATATCATTTACTTCTGTTGAAGCAAACAGCCTTTTAAAGACTTACATTTTTGTTGTGGCTTACAGCCATTGTTGAGGTGCAATCGTAACATGAGAAAGCAAGCTGAATTTCACTGAAATGTTGAATGTCTGTGACATATACTATGCATACCCTGCTTGTTAAACGAAGGAGATCAGTTTAGCATAAACAATTGCTTCCTCTCTGTAGCTGAAAAAGCTATCTAACGTTAATATATCAAATCAGGAACTATTTTTGATGAATCTTTCTTTTCACTGAACATTGTTCTGACTAATTAGCATCTGTTGGTGTCTTAGGCCTAGGGGAGGCTTAGCTGTGTCCTCAAAGGCTCTACTGTTGACTAGAAGTAACCCAATCGCAAAAGCCACTATGATAGTGATTAATGGTTGCCATAGATACCCCTTTATGAAACCTGCACTCAGACTGCGAGAACAAATGGAGTTCACTCAAAGTACAATAAGACCACACATTCCCCCAAGTGTATGGTTATATTCCTGTTTTTCTTTTGCCTTAGAAATTGAAGAAATTGTTTTTAAGTATACAAATCATACATTCAAAACAGCTAGCACCTGCAGGAAAGGTGACATTTGCATGATGATCCAAAGGGTTATCAAGACTGATAGAGTGATTATGAAAAACTCTGGATAAGCAGCGGTCATGGAAACGCCTGTGTGCAGAGATGTCTAGTGAATGCAAATCCTATTAAAACAATAGTCATAGGTGGAAGTCAATAGGTGCACACCACTTAGGCAGAAAATGTTTACATTTTCTGACAGGAGATCAAGTTCAAAAGACAATCTGTCCCGTTGGTATGAACGTGAGAAAATGAGCTTGGCATACACAGGATTGGAACAGGAAATTGATCAAGAATGTGCCTTTGGATTTTGTTCCTTCTGTCTGAGAAGTGCCTCTCTGTCTCCAGAACTTCACAGACAGTTGAGTGCTTCATGGAACTGCTCTGTCAATCTCTCCACCTCGTTCCATTGAAGTTGAGTAACCTGTCTGCTTCTGTTGTCCAGAGCTCCTTAAGGGAAGAGAAAGGGAAAATTTCACCATGGTTCCACAGCAATAAATTACATAAAAGGAAACGATTCATACCTCCCACGTGTATAGTGTTGATGTTTTTCAATTTTAAGAACAGCTTAATTGACGTTATGTTTATTCTGATGAGGTGGCCTTCTTAACCTCTTGATACAGTCTGCATGGGAGTTAAAGTTCACTGGACTGCAGTATTTTTTTATAGACAATGCATTTGTGACTGCTCAGAGTTGCATTCTGATTCTTTGTCATTTGTAACAAGGTGCTCTGAAAAGGTGGTGTCAGAGCCCCTTTTTCATTAACCCACTTTTTTTCTTTGAATGAAAAACGGGTTCAAGGGTCAAAGGTCAGGCAGAGTGTATTCATCCTTTTGTGTTCTGCGTTGAAATTGGAGACTAATACATCCCCTCTAAAACCACAACAATCCACTGGAAACATACATTTTGTCAATATGTACATTTAGGTAACCAAGTAACGAGATTACAGGTGCTTTGAATTCTGGTAAAGATTATTTTTTGTTCACTTTAAGGGCTAAAGTGGTAGTGTTTTAGACATCTTACTCCAACAAAAAGAACGTTGAGTGGGTATTTATATATATATTTATATTTAATAAGTGTTGATCTATACTGCTACATTGTGATAGTCAGCAATGTTTTCAATTTGCAGTGGTAGTTTTGATTTATGATTAATGAGAAAGAAAGACCATCTACCTCACATCCCAAAACATGGATTAGATTAATTGAAGTTATACATTAGATTGTGTCCTGTAGCCTAGCTTCACAAAATGCAACTCTTCATCTCTGCAGTGCTTTTCCTTCCAGTTCAAGGAACGTGAAATTCTGAAATTGAATCTGAATTTCTCAGGCATTATTTTATTTTAATAATTAACATTTTAGAACATTCGTTAAAATAGTTTAAACTACACTGTTCATTTATGAGCAAAAGTCAATTAAATGTAGCAGTTGTAGAAAAGACTTAAGTATTTGTCTACAGTATATGTTGATGTACTGTAGAACTCAGGATTACTTAGATTTGTAATGTGTTCTTTTGTTTTGTTGGCCTGTATCTGGAGATTCTTTCAATTTCAAAATCAAACAAAGACCATATCACTTGGAAATAACAGAGCAGAGTCTCGCCAGTATCTAGAACATGTTTTGTGTCTATGGCAAGCAGCAGGCCCAGTTCTAGACTTTTAACTGGAAAGTTCTGAGTTAAAATTCCTGGTGAGAATTCCTGTTGTTCCGTTTTGCAAGGTGACTCACCCAACTTTGCTCTAGCAAAATACTCATCTGTAGAAATGGGTCCTTTGGATAAAAGCATAAGTCAAACAGGCAGAAATTTTTAAACAAACAAACAAACAAACAAACATGTATGACACTGAAAAACAAAAGATGTCCTGAAACAAATACAAGTTTTAGTCATTTAAAGCTTATGTACAGTCCACTGAAGTTCAAACACTTCTGAACACATAAACACACTGTAATAGGGGGTAAAAATTGACAGTGATTTCTAAAAATGCTTAATGCTTGCAATAGATTAGGTGCCCCCTGTGTCTTAGTGTGTGAGAGGGATTTTCACCATTATGTTCAATCTTCAGAGCACCAAGGTAATTTAAAAACAGCAGAGACTTTGTCACTAAGCACCCCTGTCAATCAGTGTCGGGCCCTTGGTGTCTCACATAACAGAGTATAAGGGGCGCATAATGGGACAATTGTTGTCAAGGGGCTTTTATGTCAAATAAAAAGGTTTTTAATTTCACTTTGTTACGCTGAGAAATCATGAAGTTTGCTCGGAATTTGCTTTTCGAAAGCCTGTCCGCTTGCAAAACTGCCAGAATGTGTCATGGAAGGATTTAAAGCTGCTTTGTGGTGAGTAGTTTTTTCAGGATTTTTCATAACCTACAGACTTAACCGATTGTTAAACAGGAATCTGCTTGGTGAAATAAAGGTAAGAACAGCTCGAGCGTAAGGACGACCATTCTGCACAGGTACTGTCGGTGCGCTGCTTAAAATAAATGATGAATTGTACGGCATCCCTGTATAAGAAATGAAAACTGAATTCATGTAGTAAAGTAAGGTTACCTCAAGAAATGTAAAACTAAACTGAATAAGTTGACATTCGTTTAAAATTAGGAATTTGCCTAACATGTCAAGGTCATTTTGTCCTTTTTTTCATTTCATTGTTGTTGTTTTTTTTTAAATTTGATACACACTCGAGCATTTTGTTTTTGTACAGGTAGATCTCAGACCCTTTTCTAGACTATTATTTTTGGCGAAAAAGCCAGGATTGAATGAAAAACGTAAGTTAGGGTTAACCCACTGAGAGATGTTAATATTATTGGGGCACTTACTGTTAAGCGGATGTCGAGAGGGATGCAATTAAAGCTAAAAGTAAATCAATTAATCATGTTTTGTTTTTTTAAATAAGTTTTGTATAAACAGGGATTTTGTTAGGATTAGACCTTTCTTAGGAGGGCCTGTCAACAAAGCAGAAAAATTCTATTACTTTCAAAATGTATTCTCCTTTATTCCAAGAAGGGTTTTTGAGATTTATTTACTTCCATGGATGATGATGCAAGAAACAAACCATCACTTCCAATATTTACTGATGTTAGCGAACTGTACAAACGGTCAGCATTCAGATATACAGTATAGCTGCTGTTTTGTAAAGGGACCTCGTTTTTGTTGACTTTAAACTGGAACAGGCTGCCTAGTTTTAAGCAGGAAGTTCCACTAAAGACAAATTAAAATTAATGCCATCTGCTAAAGAGAAACCAATACGTACAGTAGAGCAAACAGTCTCAAATGCTGACATAAATGTTTAAAAAATATATAATAGCTCCTGTACGGTGCCCTCACCAGCCCGCCTTGATAAACTGTCTCCACCCTTTAGGTGCACCTTTTAACTGGTAGGAGCCACAGGTAAAGCCTTCTACTCTAATTAGTTTGAATTATCTGGATAACACAGGGCACAGACGGGAAAAGACAGAAAATCCACTCAGGCACTCTGCACACAGCCCAGAACAAATTGTCATCTTATCTACGGATTCTTCCAATAACAGCTCGCCGGTAAGCAGGATTATATAGTTTTGTATAATCGATAGGGTTTTCTGTTAGGTGTTTGCATAGTGTTTATATCCTGTATCGCAGAATCTGACATCTGTTCATTGTGTGTAGGTGAACCCACTAACAAAGTAACAGAACAGTAGAAAAGACAACAGTTAGTCTTTGCTTTTAGTCTCTTTTTAATATTTGTAATGTATTCGTCATTGTACTTTATTGCACAAAGCAGCTGTAGTCTTTAACAAGATTGTGGACTTGCAGAACTGCAGATTGGAATTGAACATTTGTGATATTTAGTTCTGTATGTAATGCATGCTTTGTTATTACAATAAAATATTTGGCTTTGTATTTAGCTGTAGTCAGTGTTTCTGGGAAAATGTAGGTTATTGGCTTATTAACCTTATTAATAATCTTTTTCTCTAGACTACAGAACCATGACGCTATACAGACAATCATCAGATATTTTACTCTTTAAAAAAAAATAAAACTGAATTTAAAGAGCCATCTGGAATGCTCTTCCATATATCATGGACTACATTGTTTGAAATTCTTCTATGGCATTAAGTTTGAATGTTTGAATCTTAATTGAATGGTCCATGTATGACCACAATAATTTGTGGAAATGAGTGGGTTCATCGTATTTTGCAAATATGAATTATGTTTTTGTCACCTGCCTCATCTAAATTATGAACTTGAAATATACACTGTAGCTATGGTATTTCAAGTGTATTTCATGTAGTATTTTAACAAATCTTAGCTTACAAATAAATGCAAATTCTTCCACCATTGACTGGTTTTATACTGTGAAAAGAGACAGAGGCAAATTAAGTCAAATGATGTATGAAAATGAGCGCAACATGCTTCTTCAGCTTGTTGCCTGCAGCATTTTTTAATTATTATGCAAAGAATCTCCAGACTCTGATGACAGCTCAAGACTTCTCGTCATGTTTTTCTCTGAGTCTGCTTTGATGGGGTTTCTGAAAAATTGTTTTGAAATCTGGATTCATAGAAATACAACGTAGTTAACATAAGATTGTGGCACATTAATCATTAATCGCTTAAATATGTAATGGAACGAATTACAAGTCATAATGTTCCTCAAAATATAGACATTTTCAACAGCAGCTTTGAGGGACTGAAACCTATGGCAACAATCACCATGACAACTGCTCTTGGTATCTGATCCCTGGTGAGCAATTACAGTTGATAAATCCCACTACCTGTATTTTTTTTGCTAGCTCATTGTTGTCAGCGTAGTTTCACACAGGATTAAACATCCTCAGGAGGATGACGAAAAACAAGCTGTAGGCTCCATAAGTGCCTGGGGGACTTTGGTTTGCGGAAAGTAAACAACATGTCTTTCGATGGGACAATAAAAGAGTGTGGTGAGAAAGCAAGCTGGTCCTCTTAATTGAATATGGCATTTTCCATGTCTTAATATCAATAAGCAAATCTTACAGATGGCTGTTTAAACTTAAATCCCAATATTAATATCCAAAACCCAAATCAAAGACGCAGCTAGCAAGTTAAAAATCATGTTTAATGTTTTATATTAAAAGTTAGAATGTGAAAAGTCAGCATGTGTAGTAGCCACACATAAAGGCTGAGTGGGCTAGAGCTTCTAGGTTTGTAGATGTAAAACAGTCAGAGAGCACATGATTATCCCCAGTCTATCATAGGGCCGACTCTCGACAATGCTGGTTCCCAGTTATACAGCTGGGTTGACTGGCAGTCCATCTGCTGCTGTACTTTATTCAAGGTACAACAGCAGTGACTGTAATCCACAACCCACCAGTTGTGAGCCCAGAAACGTATCCATTATGTTACAGCTAAAAATGCTTTGAAAAATATAGGAAACTGACATGTGTGGCATCACAGTTAGAAACTTAATGCTATGGTAGATAAAGAGAGGGTTATGTATTCCTTTTAGAGCAACTGAAGTAGAATAATTTAAAGTAAAGAATTTAACTTCAGATTTGCTGCTTTTCCATGCCGTGTTTGTCCTTTTCTTTGAAGTATAACACCATGGACAAAGCAGAATATGGAGAACCTCCAACTCTTGGTTGTCACAAAACAGCATCATTTTATTAATGCAATAGCACATTCATTCACACGAAGGTCCTCTCCTTCAAAGTCTTTTGCAGCAGAAGGGTTGCTGTGCTAGGTGAACCCAGTTTGAATTGAAGTTTCTGAAATGTTATGCACACTAGCACAAAAAGCTGTCAGTGAGTCAGTATCATACCAATATGCAGCATGACAGGCTTACAGCTTCAGACAGATTCCTAGTGTGACCATATAATAAAGTTGTTCTCTAACCAACAAGTGTATATATATAGGCCTATATAATTTTCCCTTTAATTCAACCAATAAAGAATTTCTCGCTCTCTGTAAAGCATTTTGAGATCTTCTGGGACAAATACAAACACAAGAAATGGGGGATTCCTAGTGACCTCTTCAGTCAAGCTGTACTCTTTCCATCAGGTTAAAAATAATTCAGCTTTGCTTTTTTGTGCTAATATTGCCTCTTCTTCCCCTTTTCCTAGTGTCCCGTCTAAAGATCACGACTGTTACTTTTCAGTTTTAGATACAGTATATGACACAGTTGGTGATAAAGTTACAGTATTTATGGCAACATTTTAGGAACTGAACACTGTTGGAAAAGCTTGTTTAAAATGAGAAACCTTTACACTTCATTTTTTATTAAAAAAAACTAGAATCACAACGTCTTTGTCCTTTTAAGTTTGTAATCTTCAATGCTTAATTATTTCTGCTATCTGCTTATTCTCACTCCTCATTCCACAGGTACCTCGAATTGTGGAGGGGTCAGCAAATCTGACCAATAGTATTACACGTCTTTTATGTATGAACATTAAATCCTACATTGCTCCTTCCAAATTCTCAGAAAGTCCCAAGGTCATTAATTCATTGTAATAATATATTTTTTTGGATTTGAAGCTAACTTGTTTCAAAATGTGCTTGCCTTGTTTGTTTGGATTTAACAACAATCTGTTAATGATACACATTTTCAATCTAATTCTGCTACCAAGATTTTATGTTGGTAGCAAGGCTTGAATTATTAAACCTTGCATTTCTGTGCTAACATTGCCTCTTTTCCAATCACGTGAAACAGGGCTCACCCTAAGCCATAGGATTGCTTTTCTTCTTAAAAAAAAAACACTGGTTTTGCCCTATTTGGATTTAACACCAATGGTCGCAAGGATCTGAAAATGGGTTGCTATCCAGGGTCCTGAAACACACTTTTTCTATTAACACTTGTAATTCTTTTCCAGCTGTATTCTACCTTTACACTTTGATTTGTGTTTTTCCAAAATTTTGGAAAAATATTAGAAAAAATAACCCCATCTCCCCATAAAACTAGAAAACTAATCACTCAAATTAAACAAGTCTACACTTCTTCATTGATCAATTGACCATAATAACTGTTTCAAGCACATTTGGTTAAGAAAAAAAAATGTGCTTGACTTGATTGATTTGATTGTACTCTTGAGCTAAAAAATAAAGCAAAAACATAGAGTATTGAATTGTATTTTATGACGAATTTTCATGTACATCAGGTTCTGTTATTTTTTGTAAGGACAAAATTATTTAAAAGGTGAGTTTCATCAGATCCATTGTTGCATTGCTAAAAATATATATTTTAAATCATAATATATATGTATATAATTGAGAATACTATAGCTATTAGTTTAAATTTGTGTAAGATATGAACCATAAGACCATTTGTTTGAAACATGTCCATATTCAGCATAAACGAGGTTGAAATTGCTTTTAGGATATTTCATTCAATATTCAATTTATCTCCGTCTGTAGACCTGTAGTCGTCATACACTTTAGAAAGAGATGCCTTAGCACTGGAATTGAAAATGGGACCATTATAGCATCATTGCTTGAAACATTATTCTTTTATTTTGCAGAATTGTCTCAGGGCTGTGATCTTACACATACTGGAACAACAATGGCCCCAAAGCTGCTTTTAAAAGGTATTTTTTAATCTCTATCCTAAGTATCTTCATAAGTTGGGTCTCCACAAAGTTCAGAGAAAAGGAGTCATCCATACTTTCAGCATGTTCATAATGTGAGAGGTACTACATTATCATGTAACTATGTTATACTAAGAACTGTGTGTGTTAATTATATAGAGGAATAAGATACATAATGTAAATTAAGTTTTCAGATTTGGAGTTAGAGTGCCTATAAAATACATGGATTATACTGTAAGCAATATATGCTTGGGGCACTACAGCTGATACATGTTGCATAGAAATGAAATTAGTAATCAAGCATTATCAAGATATTCCTATTGCAGATAACTGAATAGGTTTCTCTGGAGTGGTTCGGTTTACTTCTCTTTTTATACTAAAGTTTTAATATAAAAAATATATATAAAAATATATAAAAAAGATATTAATACAAATACAATTTCAATATTTAGTATGATCAATACCACCATATAAGCCCCATACATCACAGAAAGTTCTCAAATGTAAAGCAGTATTCAAACACTCTTTTCTCTACCTTAATGAATTACTTCTGTAATGCTCTTTAGTTTTTTAATAGTTTGGCTATACATGTTAAGGCTATACGTATTAAAATCAGAATTAACACTAAAACTTTGTTTTTCGGTAACAGGCTTTCTTCTGCTTTTAATCACACTGACAAGAAGCTCCATATTTGTGTCAGGTCAAGAAACTACAACTGCAACATCACTTAGCAACTCTACAGCTGATTCATCTACTCCAAACATAACATCTGCAGAACCAACAACATCTGGAATGAATGACTCCTCATCATCGAATGTTTCATTCAGCGCTACTACAGCACCTGGAGTTGGATCAATGGTCACTACCATTCCAACCAATGGCACAGGAAACACAAGTTACTCTTGGGCCACCACTGTTTCTCCAGGTGCAGTTATATTTTCTAATATTTCCACAACGGCCATAACACATATACAGTATAACACCAGCCAACACAGCCACCAACCACATACCAAAATAATTTAGCCTATAATATTGAAATACTATATTATTCAGGCTAGCAATATACAGCATGCCAAGTGTATTTGGTAACTACTGTTGCCCATTTTCACATAAACATGAATAATTAAGGTTGTAGGAATATGTAACAAGCTACCCTGCCACGTTTTTGAAGCCAGATTTACTGCACACAACAGCTGGATGAGTGATCTGACCGATCTTTAGATCAATTGTCTACTAAGTGCCAAACATGCTTGATAAACCGAAGGTCCTTTGTGTGTACTATTTTCATGTTCTTATGTTAAGTGTCATAAGGCATTGCTCTTGTTCTTTGTTTAATATTTTTAACTGAAGTCACTTCCATTTTGTTTTTATGGCAGTCTCTGGAATGACATCAGTTTATGCAAACTCCACTTCTGCAGCGAACAGCATGACTAGTTTGGTAAGCACAAAGAGAACCTATCCGTCCTCCTGTCGTTCCTGCCAAGCACTCATTCTGTCAGCACGGTTCTGTTTTTTATCATCTTTACAGTTCGTTCACCCCACTCTTAACTGCTTTGAAATTTGGTTTTCATTTAAAGGGGAGGTGCAGTCCCAATTTCTCAGACTAGTTTCTAAATCTCAGTAGCAAAATCCATTAATTGATGGTACTGTATCTATTTTTAAATTCGTAAACCCCTGGTCTCGCCATGGGTGAGAGCGAGATTTCCCATGAACTGTGACATGAAGCGGCCCTTCCTGCTCACTAGTCACTGTAATGACTAATGCAGTGTGATGTACGAGAGAATAAGTGCAAGTTGTACAGCACTTATTCATACAGTAGAAAGTATCCAACGTGATCTGCATGCAAAGTTAACAAACAGAGAATTAATAAAGAGAATTGTTTAGATTGGATTAAAAGAGATGTACTCTTTCTAACGCCAAAATATAAAAAAAACATTGCCTATTACCTTTAACATTAAAAGGCTTAAAATTGCCTTTACCTTTAAATGACCTTTAATTTTGGAATTTCTATCTACTGAGTGTCTTTCCAGTTTGTTAGCCGTTTTTGAGGTTTGGACGAAAGCCTGAAGGAGCCAGATCTCTACTACTGTGTATAACAGCAAGGAAATCCAAAGCTCTCACATCTGCATAAATTATTTCTCAATATTTACATCTCTTAAGATGTTTACAGACCAAGCAGTGTGTGTATTTTGGTCTTTCACATGTTACTGCACAGTGAAACAATAGTACTGTACTGTATATGAAGCTCAGCTTCTTCTTTTACAGCTCGCCTGTAAGTCTTTCAGCTGCAGTGCGCCAGATTGCTACACAATGTATATGAACGAGACAGCAAGCAACTGCTCTTCTGGCAATGCCTTCTGTGAGGTAAATACTGCCATTCTAATGTGTGTTACTTTGGTAGCTTGCCTCAGATAAGCACAGGATCTACACAAAGATGCTTGTCTCCGACAGCTCAAACGGCTGAGCAGCAGCAACTACACCACGGGCTGCAGCACCACCTGCAACAGCACGTCCAGCAGGTGCGCGAATGAAACCCAGCTTCCGTGTGTTGTCGAGTGCTGCCGAACCCCCAACTGCCTGAACGGATCCATGCAGCTCATCAGAACCAGCTTCGGTACATCGTTTTTCACGAGTTTTACTGTGCTGAGATATACGCTATTGGTCATGAAGGCTGACGTTCCTCAGACACACACATGAGTGTACAAAGACAGGAACTGGGTTTAATGCTTAGGAAACAGAGGGGGGAACAACTGTGGTAGTGCAAAGTATTCTTAAAGCATTTTTCATTTTATACGGCAGGGATAATTATTAATTAACCAATTATGGTGGCATTCTGTTGGCCATAGTTACCAAACCCCATTGCATTACCCAGCCTTAACTCAAGTAGTTGTCTCCACCCTATCTCTATCTAGTACTATATTCCAAACCATACAAAAGGCCAGCGGAATATAACTGATCCCTGAATTATACTCACTTGCTTTTTTAATGCAGTTGTAAAGGACAGAATAAAAAATGGTAAAAGAGGAATAGATTGAAACGAACCCTCATTATTAAATTCTGAAGAGCATAGCAAATGAAATTTTCATCCATTTTCAATGACCACGTCATCCAGTACAGAGTCACGTTGAACTTAATTACACTTTATTTTTCTTTAATTTACCAGTGACTACACGTGCGCCAACAACCACCACCACTAACCCAACTACAACTGTTGCAAATAATGTAAGACATTGCTTGTCATTTTTGTTATTGTGATAAGTGGTAGTAACTGGAACAGTCTACATTTTGCTCCGCTTTTTTTTCAACAGTACAACAGCTTTCAAAAATATCTTGTCTGGAAATAAGACCTATCAACATACAATATTCAATAGCATTCCTTCATTTGAATGAACAGAAAGTCACTTAAGAATGAAGAGCTAATTACATTGCACAAACATAATTCAAACTTTTTTCTAACATTGCATGGAAGAAAACTCCAGACTGCAGGAATCCAGCCCAGTCTTGGCTCAGTTAATGATTACACTGATTTCTACAAACTACAAACTACCCCTGTAAACCAAATTTGATTATTTTTCTTGACTTTTTGTGATAGACCTATGGCTTTTTTTCAACTTATCATTCAAAGATTTGAGAGCTGTCAAAGCTCTTTTCTGATCTATCTGGGTCAAATGTTTCCGTCTGTGCCAGTGATCAGCAATATTAGACTTGACGGTTTTTCAGGAAAGAACACTCAGGATGTTTATATTCCAGTTAGATGTATTCTTTTGCACTACCAATATTAAGAAGATAACCATAACAGTTTCTTTCTTTAATTAGAGTGCAGAGTATCTACACCACATCAAAGCATACTTTGGTAGCTAAATATGAAACAGAGAAAGAGAAAAAAGCTCACAGGATGTGAATGTATCTGAAATGATAGCATGATTTTTTATTTCTGTGTTCTGAAGCAGTTGCTCTCTTAATTCAACAGGGCAAGAAGTGCCAGACCATGACTTGCAATGGTGAAGCCTGCTACAAAACACAAGCGAAAAACGACAAGTTGTGTCCCATCGGATATGAGTTTTGTGAGGTTGGTGTCACTTTTACTTGTAAATAAACATTTAAAATGTACATCCTTCAACATCAGATAAGGTCACCAAAATCTAGCCTGATCACTGACAAGCTTCAGAGACTCATATTTCTCTATCTGAAATGTTCCATTTTTCAAGCATTTCTCAGGTAGCGTTTTCAGACATTGTCACTGGTTTGCAGGAATGAAAAATATTAAGACAGTCATAATATTACACATGCAGAAAGATATATGATACAACATGATATTACATCTGAAAAACACATAAAGCAGTTATTAAAGGAATATATTTAAGGATTTCTTATTTCTTGACTAAAACATTGATGTGAAAAAGAATATAATAGGGACAAAAACTAGAGTTGCTGTACATCCAGTTTCTATTTCTTAGCCCCTGCAGTAGATGGCTTGAGGGGGAAGTCTCTGAACATGAATGAACAGTGTAGTTGCAGGTTCACAAGGCAATTTGGAGACGATGCTATGGAGTGTGTGCAGACAGATGATCTTCTGGGGTTCTTGTGTTTTTCCCCTTCAGCTGAAAAAGACAGTTGCCAATGCTGTCATGACCTGGACCTCAGGCTGTAGCAAGGACTGCATCAAGCTCCCCTTGATCGTCTGCACATCCACTACTGTGGACTGCCTTCAGGAATGCTGTAATGCAACTCAGAAAGAATCTTGTCTCAAGATGGATGGGTCTGTTAACATGCCCAATGGTGCCAGCACACTTTATATTCCTTCACACTTCATATTCCTGACCAGCTCATTCCTGATCTGGATTTTAAATAGTCAGCTTCAATCCCTCCTGATTCAGTAGGCCAGGAGAGAGTGTCGATTCTTTCTGTGGCTTAGTGCGAACAACTCAAGTTGACTGACAGAGCAGGACATGTCCTTTGTACTGTAGTTTCACATGTCTGTTTTGTATTCTTTTTTTTTTTGTTTGTTTCGCATGTTTGGTGAGCAAAGGTAACAGCTAAAGGGCACAACGAAACAGGAGTAGCTTTTACAGTCGCGTCAATGCTTAACGTTTTGCAAGAAACAACTCATGCTAAAAAAGACTTGATCTTTGTTATGGCTATACAAATTACACCTGTATCATGCATATTGGGCATTGCTGAAAAAAATATTGTTACTGTCATTCAAGCACTACTGTATGCATGCTGTCAGTTTTGGGGGGATTTCTAAAGTATGTTTTGCTTTAGAAATATATCTTTTGCTTTTAGATGTAATTTTATAAAATAATATTACATGAAGCCTTTTTTATAAAAATGCACTTTCATCACTGAATTAAGAATTTCTGTCTTTACAGAAATATTACTCATGAATTAAAGTTGGGCCCATTGACTGCATTTCAATACTGACAGTAAATATTGAAAAAAAGTCTCCTTTCTAGGCACAGTACAGTATCTTCAAAGATAGATATTCTGGCATGTATTTTATAGACAAAAAGACATATATAATTCATTGGAAGTTGGCAAGCAAAGTGCTTTCAAGTTGTTAATTCACCAGATGTACAATGCTTGAGTGCAGGTCCATTTCTATAGTCCTATATGCCCCAAGGTATTTATATCTCCTTCAATGGTAACATCTCATTACCTTCTCCGATGTGTGATGTATTCAAAGGTTTATCAGTTGTATTGTGCTAAGCTACATAAAACATTAATAATATGGTACACAAAAACAGTTACAGATATTGTTATACCTCTTCATGAAGTTCATCTTGGTCTATATTGTAACTGCTAGTTTTAGCTTTAAGTATCCGAATGCCTCAATCATTTAAATTAAAATTTGTAAATAGTTTTCTTTGAAAAAATCAGGTTGTAAAAAAGGCTTAACAAAAATCAATTCACTTTTCTGCCACAACATCAATTATGTTTTTAAAAAATTTTACATTTTCTGTGTACTATATATATGTGATATTGTACATTAAAATATAGCAATATATAATTATATTTTCCCTTATGAATTATTGTGGTACAAAAAAGTACAACAATAAACATTACATTTTCCCCTTAACAATTATTTGAAGAGCAGTTTATTTTTTAAATTATATATCTTGTTCTTGCTTTTACTGCTTTGTAACATACTATACAAAATAAACTTTCAAAGAGATTATTCTATAATAAAACAAAACTGAGTAGCTTGCGTTGTATTACTGATAAGCATGTACTGCATTGCCAAGTTTTTGTGACAGACTGTAAGTGATGTAATACAAAAGACAGAGATATTTAACTATCACTTGATATTAATATCTTTTTAAATAGCATTAAATATAGCAAGAAGCATTCAATAAAAAAATATTCCAAAATTGTATTTTAGCTTTGTTCAATCAATGGGAAAGGTGCAGCTGTGGTCAAAAACTGAAACTCAATTCACTAATCAAATTCACATTCCAGCTCCAGGACTAGTACTGTAAGTGGCATTATACTGTATATAGCAGTGGATATACAGTACAGTATATACTGGGCTTAAGTCTTTAAATGTTATTTCAGACCTTAGTTCCAGAAAGACAGAAACAAGAAACTAAAATTCAGAGTTTCCTTTATATTTTGTATTGTCATTGTGGGTCTTTATGTATTACTATTAATGCGGGGGCAACATCTGAGAAAACATCCTCAAATATAAATAACTCCTAGCAGAAAAGGTGAGAGGTATTCAAAATGGAAAGGCTTTATGATCCCAAAGGATTTCTTCAAGAAGTGGCCAAACCTATGTGTTTCAGGTCTACGTCAATAGCAGGTGGTGTTTAATTTTGCTGGAGAATAAGATAAGATCATTTTATTAATCGTATACAATTTTTTGCATTAGAAAATGGGTCTTTTCATAGACCCCAGCTTGTTTTCCCATCAGACACACAGACAGGGAGAAAAGCCTGGGGTCGGAGCACAGGGTCAGCCATTGTACAGCACTCCTGGAACAGCTGGGGTTAAGGGCCTTACTCAGGGGCCCGACAAACTAGGATTCCTCTGCCAGCCACAGGATTTGAACCAGCAACCTTCCAGCCACAGGCACAGAGCCACCTGCCTCCACTTAATATAGAATAGCAAATCAAAATAGGTTGAGGGTCAAAGGGGAGGCCCCACAAACACACACATTGGTTGGTGAACAAGGAATCCCATTAGCTTGAATTATCATCTAGACCCCCAACAACAGCAATTTCTTTGATTATGTGTTATGCAATCATAAAATCAAGTTGTGTCTTGCTGTATGTCATTCAGCTTTTGATGTCAACCTTTAAGTCTCTGCTTACTGCGTTTTTAAATTGTGTTGCTGTTTTTAATTTCTCTTAAGACAGCACCAGCCTCCTAGAGCTTGAATCCTTAGCAATGACATGATTGACATGTCATCATCACACAAAAACAACCTTATTCTTTAACAGTGTCTATCGTTTTTCTGTGCATGAAACCCAGTTTGTTTTGCACAGGTGAGCCTCACCAGTAGGGAACCACTTAATTACTCCTGAGTGGGAAGCCAGCTCATGGTAGCATGCAATAAACGCCTTGCCACGTGATTGGACAGGTGCTCTGCATGTACTTTTCCATTATCTCAGTCCAGGTGTGCAATGTGTGTCTGGCAATAATATTTGCTTACTTCAATTACATATGTATTCTCAATGCAAAGCATTGCAAATCATATA